CCGTCTGAAAAATGGTAATTGGTTTGGCAAGAGGGAACTCACTAATGGCCCCAGACCTCTCAAGGGTGTGCTGTCAGTATTGGCCAGGGCTGGAATCACTTCCTGTGATTCACAGTACTGTAGAATCACACGAGAACATTCATGTGCTTTTTGTGCCTTTGTTTTTCTCCTTCTCTAGGGCTGTTGGCCGGGGGCCTCTGTTCCTCACCACATGTGCCTCCCATGTGCTGCTTGAGTGTCCTCCTGCCATGCGGCTGGCTTCCTCTGCAGCAGGTGATGGAAGACAGGAAGACAGACATACAAGGTGAGGAAGAGATGAGAAGATGAGGAAGACTGAGGAGGGAGGCATGGTTTTTTAAGATTTTTTTTTTTTAAATAGAGAGGAGGAGAGACAGAGAGAGAAAGAGGTCTTTCATCCACTGGTTCACTTCCCAATTGGCCACAATGGCCAGAGCTGAGCTGATCCCACGCAAGGAGCCAGGGGCTTCTTCTGGGTCTCCCACGCAGGTGCAGGGGCCCAAGGATTTGGGCCATCTTCTACTGCTTTCCCAGGCCATAGAAGAGAGCTGGATTGGAAGTGGAGCAGCCAAGCCTCAAAATGCCACCCATATGGGATACTGGCACTGCAGACAGAGGCTTTACCCACTACGCCACAGCGCTGGCCCCACTTTTTTTATACTTAGTTTCAGAATTATACATGTTATTGGGTTTTCTAGAAGCAATTCACTATACCCTGTCTATATTCAAGGGGAAGGAAATGAATGAAGTTCCTGGCTCCTGGCTTCAGAAGGGCGCAGCTCCGGCTGTTACGGCCACTGAGGAGTGAACCAGTGGATGGAAGACCTCTCTCTCTGTCTCTCCCTCTCACTGTCTGTAACTCTGCCTGTCAAATAAATAAATAAAATATTTTTTAAAAAAAAAGCATAAGCAGAACTGGAAAAACTAGAATGCGTTAGTGGAAAAGAGAACATGAATAACAGCATAATAAAAATATGAAATAACACCAGTAAAAAAGGGTAAGGGAACGAAGCAAGTATGAGGAAGCAGTTGATGACTGATTAAAACAGCAACTATGGTAAATTTGAATATGATACTGGAATCTACCTTTCAACATGTTAAGTGCATGAGCATGTAGCTCATTTTGTCTACTAGAACATGTATCATAGAGTATTAGAGTTGAATAATTTTTAATCTCTATCACCACTGCTACATCTTGATTAAGAAATAAGATACGGGCCAGCACTGTGGCACAGTGGGTTAAAGCCCCAGCCTGCAGTGCAGGTATCTCATATGGGCATGGGTTTGAGTCCTGGCTGCTCCTCTTCTGATCTAGCTCTCTGCTATGGCTTAGAAAAGCAGTAGAACATGGCCCAAGTCCTTGGGCCCCTGCCCCTGTATGGGAGACCCAGAAGAAGCTCCTGGCTTCAGATTAGCTCAGCTCTGGCTATTGCGGTCATTTGGGGAGTGAACCAGCAGAATGAAAGATATCTCTCTCTCTCTCTCTCTCTGGCTCTACCTCTCTATCTCTCTCTGTAACTCTGTCTTTCAAATAAATAAAATAATTATTAAAAAAAAAAAAGAAATAAGGTGGAGGGGCCGGCGCTGTGGCATAGTGGGTAAAGCTGCTGCCTGTAGTGCAAGCATCCCAAATGGGTACCGGTTCGAGTCCCGGCTGCTCCACTTCTGATCCAGCTCTCTGCTGTGGCCTGGGAAAGCAGTAGAAGATGGCCCAAGTACTTGGGACCTTGCACTCAAGTGGGAGACTCAGAAGAAGCTCCTGGCTCCTGGCTTCAAACTGGCTCAGCTCTGGCCTTGCGGCCATCTGGGAAGTGAACCAGTGGATGGATGACCTCTCTCTCTTTGTCTCTGCCTCTCTGTTACTCTGCCTTTCAAATAAATAAATTATTTTTTAAAAAAGAAATAAAGTAGAAAAGTACTTACTTTTTGGGTTCTTGCAAAGATTAGCAGATTAAGGCTTTACTTTTCCCCTTTATTTAGTACATACTAAAAATGTCCTCCCCAACAGAGCCTAGCTGGCTTCTGGGAAGAATTTTTGCCCTAAAATAAAATAAAGAGGTCTTGTGTTTATAGTCAACTCATCTGATTCAGAGTTTTGTTAAGAGGAGCATGAAATAAAATATTTGGAAAATCTAAGCCTAGAACACAAGGTTACAGAAAAAGGCAACTGTGGTTCAGCTTGCCTTAGGACACTGGCCTAGACAGAGGACTCATATTCAGAATTGGTTTATGGGTCCCAGAGAATGAAGGAGTTACTTCAAGGATAATGTGCATTTTCAATGGGGAAAAAATGCTGCTGGACACACTTAACTTCGGTTTTGCCTATTACAATGCTGAAGGGGTCAAGGAGACAAGGACTAGGTGGAATTAAGAAGGGTTATTCTTCTCCATGAGGGAGAATCTCTCACACTTGCCTTTCCCAGCCTCACAAGCTGTTTTCCACTGAAAGCTCTTAATTGTGTTGGAAAACATTTAATAGTCTTTCACTACCAAACCCTCAAAAACACAACATTAGATGAATGCTTAGCAAAGCACCATTTATAACTATTTCCAAAGATCAGAAAACTACATCTAGATATTCTTGCTCAATCTAACAGCCATCATGTATTTAGGGTATTTACCATGTGCCAGGTGCTATGATTAGCATTTCACCTACGTCATCTGATTTAATCTTGTTACAGCCCTTCAAGGTGTGCAGTAGCATCATTTTACAGATAAACAGGTGCAAGAGATCAAGTACTCAAACCAAGCTCACCGAGCTAGTTAGGTCGCAAAGCTGTATTTAAAACCACATTTGATTACAAAGCCACACTTTTTTTTTTAAAGATGTATTTATTTATTTGAAAGTCAGAATTACAGAGAGAGGGAGACACACACACACACACACACAGAGAGAGAGAGAGAGAGAGAGAGAGAGAGAGATCATCCACCTGCTGGTTCACCCCCCCCACCCTCGCCCACCGCAGATGACTGCAAGGGGCAGTACTAGGCCAGGCTGAAGCCAGCAGCCAGGAGCTTCATTCAGGTCTTCCAAAAGGGAATCAGGGCCATCATCCAGTACTTCTCCCAGGCCATTTGTGGAGAGCTGGATAGGAAGTGGAATAGCTGGGACTTGAACCAGCACCCATATGGGATGCCGGTGTTGCAGGCGGAACCTTTACCCACAACACCACAGTGCTGGACCCAAAACCACACTCTTTTACACCACTGTGTCTTAAAACACATAAAAATAATTCCATCATTGTCCAAAACTAAAAGACTCAACAGTTCAAAGAAATATTTATAGAAAAGGGAAATAAAATATTTTTAAATGTTGATAGTTAAATATGGGTACAGATGACTCATGTTGAGATATACAAATACTTAGAGGAACAGATAGCACAAATACCTTTTTCGGTCATAAGCAAGCCCAACTTCAGATGCTAGCTGTGGAATGGAGGGACAACAGGATCCTGACGGAAGAGCAGCAGGTTGGGTTGGGAACCCTCTCTACAGTTTCATTCCACAGCAACACTACACCAACCTACCCAGGAAAACATAAGTACTGTTAAGGAGCGCAAACCTCCACTCTGAGTAACAGAATTTTCGTGCTGGTCCCAGGAGCCAAGTCACACATTAGCTGATACCATGAAAATAAGGATTGCCATATTTAGAAAAGGTCACAGCAGGCAGGAATGCTTTCAGATTCCTGCTACAGTATCAGGACGCGTCAATCATCACTACGTGGTTTTGTACAGTACTTGGAGTTGGAGGCCTGAGAATAAGGCTGCAATTGTACTGAATTTACCCTGGATTGGCCCCAGCACACAAATAAAACAGGGTTATAAGCCCGTTCTGCACTTCATCATGCAGATGTATACCAGAGCAGCGGTTCTCAACCCCTGGGCCCTGCCTCCCTCCAAGAGGGCGTCTGGCAGGGTCTGCAGCCATGTTGGATTGCCACACCGTGGGGGCAGGGATGCTACCGGCATCTAGAGGGTGGAGGTGTCTACAGCACACGGGACCGCCTCCCCTCAGCAGAGACGTGTCCGGCCCAAGATGGCCAGCGTGGAGCTGAGAACCTCCGGTCCGGGGGAGGCTATCGCATTGGCGGCGGGAGGGGGCGTTTTGGTCACCGCTCCCCATTCCCTACATCCCAATGCTCAGGGCTGGTTATCCTAGCAGAGAGGTCATCAGCAGGCCCACAGTGTGGACTGGGTGGAGACGGCGTTGTCTCCTTTCCATGTAAAACATGAAGCACCTGTAGCTCGGGCTGCAGATCCCTGTGGTTGTCACTGGCACCGTTGGCGTTTTCCGGCCTCAACAAACCAGAACTAGAGCCCATCGGCGCCCAGGTTTCTTCCTGGTTTACATTTCCTCCCCTCGGCAACGTGCGCTGTGCCCTGTGCCCTGTGATGGGGAAAGCTAGACATTTCGGGAAGCGGCGTTTCCCTGACGTCATTTATTTAGTGTGGAAGAGGAGTTTTGCTCTAGAAGAATGTCGCAGGCCCCCAGCCTGGAAATGGGACCAGAGAACAGCTGTCCCCTGGGCAAGGCCATGGAGTTCAGTTTACTTAAAAGGACAAGGCACACGGGAGGGCGCTGGGAATCCCCGCTTGGCCCATTTCTGTGGCCGAACGCCCCCCGCCCCCAGCCTCGTATTGTTCCCTCCCGAAGGAAAGCAGCGCCCGCCACGCAGAGAGCCACTGCCCGGAGGCGGGGGCTTTTCCCGGGCAGGGCGGTGCTGCCGGCCGGCCTCGCCTCGCCGGTGGGCGAGGACCTCCTCTTCCCCACCCACAACGGCTTCTGGGATCTGCCCGCTGTGGTCTGGAGGGGCCCAGGTTCGGCCGGCGGGAGCGCCCCCACGACTCGGGGCGCGCGGGAAGCAGCAGGAAGAGGCGGGATTCCTGCCTTTTGTCTTCGGTCCTCGGCCCGCAGCCGAGCAGCGCGCGCACCCCGCCTGCGTCAGACCCCCACACCTGCGGGAGCGAGTCCCAGGATCCGCCGCGGGGCGGGGGGCGGGGCGGAGGCAGGCCACGCCCACCGGCGTGTGTTTAAAAGACGCCTGCACGCGCCGCGCCGGGCTCGGGTGTTCGGATTCCCTGCGCGGTTGTTCACGACGAGGTTCGGCTGCTCCGCTTGCGGGGAGGCTCCGCGTCTCTGACTTAAGTGAGTAGGCTGGGAACATCTCCGCCGTGCAGCGTCCCCCGCCCCCGAGTCGGCTGCCCTGCTGGCGCCGCCTGTCCCCACCCAGCTCCCACTTTCCACTCCGTTGCCCCCAAAACACCTGCTCGTTGCGCGCGCCCGTGGGAGGGAAGAAATCCGGCCTGACCGTTAGTTTCCCCTTGCCGGGTTCCTCTGGACCGAGGCGGAGTTCCCGGGGTTCCTGTTGCTGCTGCTCCGCGTTTTAGGAGCGCTGAGCCCCTTTCCCCGTCGCTGGCGCAGGCGGGGGGCCGGGTGCGCGCTCTGGGCGGGTTTGGTTCCCTGGGGGTGAGTTGGGGCTTCTATTGCCCAGAAACCTTTCCGTGCAGCCGTGCTGGGCCCCGGGCAACCCCATTGTGTGGTGGCCTCTGCCCACCCATTACCGGCTGCCTGGAGCTGTTGGTCACTCCTGGGTTTTTCCAGAACTTTCCACCATTCAGCTCCAAGCAGGGGGAGCAGAATGGTGGTTGTAAGAGCCTGCAACAGGTACTGAACAGGGAAAATTAGCCCGGGGTTAAAGAGCTGGGTTCCTGAGCTCCCGCAGGCAGGCACTCCGCCCCAACCCCTCCCCCTTCCCGGGGGCAGAGGAGGGCTTCCCAGGCAAGGATCCCTTCCCTCTTCTAAGCCTGGGCCTTTGGTGAAAGATCTGGATTAAGGGGTTACCCAACGCGTTTAACCTGTTTGCTTGCAGTCTGCAGACCACGTAGGTTTTCACTTGAGAATGGTGTTTGATGCAGAACATTGCTTTCATTTGGGTAGTACTTAAACTCTGCAAGTGAAAACAGTCTCTAGTTCCTGACTTTTGTAATTAACCTGTACCAAAGCACTCCTTTTAAAATAACAAGAATTTTAATAGGACAGCCCAATGTTGGCCATACTTTGACTCACGTTTTTCTTTCTTTCTTTTTTTTTTTTTTTAAGATTTATTTTGTTATTTGAAAAACAGGATGGGAAAAAAGATCTTAAATCTGCTGATTTACTCCCCAAATGGCTGGAAAGCCAGGAGCCCAGAACTCCATGCTACAGGAGTGGCAGGGGCCCAAGCACTGGGGGCTGCTCGCCGCCTTCCCAGGTGCATTAGCAGGGAGCTGACTGGGAAGGAGGGCAGCCGGGAGTTACCCCATCGCACCACAAAGCTCCCTCCCCCATTCACATTTTCCAGGGAGAGTTGGGGAGGATAGGATTGGAAAGGGGAAAGCACATAATTGCTAAACTGCACCCCAAACTGTCTGAATACTTCGTGCCCTTCCTCTACTACTATCTGGGTCACAGTTCTGTTGGTTATCTGATAATTTCCTCAGTATCTCTCAGGTTCTTTTTCCTTTGCATTTTGTTTGGTCTTTCAGAGCCCTGTTTCCTTAGAGGCAGGATCTACATTCTCTGAGTCTTTGAAATTTGACAGTGTTTGCCTGGGTGCTTTGAACATGTTGAATCAGAGCCAAATATGGGTCAGTGGAAGGAATGAGAGAGGGAGTAAGAGTGCAGGTGAGGTGACCAAAGATGTAATTTGACTCACGTAGTGTTAGCAGACTTGGTCTGAAGATTATCAGAAGTTTTTAAGGGATTTTCAGATGTGTCAAATACTGCATGACACTAGTCTGTGCGGAAAGTACTACTGATTGGAGGCCTTTCCTGATGCAATTGCAGAAACACTTGGATTTGGGGAAAATTGTATTTTATCCTGAAGCACCGAGGATGTTTATAGAGTAGAGATGGGGAACCTTTGAAGCCTGGGTCCACACACAGCTCTGCCAACATAGCTTTCATGATCTGGGTTCCCAACTTTCCTTATGCCAAAAATGAGATGAGTCTAACGAGAAAGACAGGCCCCAAGGGCGAGTAAGGATGGCCTGGCAGAAAAGGGTAGGGCCAAAGCCAGTCAGGCCCAGATCCGTCCCATGGGCTTGATGCTCACAGGCAAGTTACTTCATCTTGTAAAATGAGGTCAGGCGTACTTCTTGCAGGGTTGTCATGCAGCACACTGCTGCCTGGATAAAGCCCTGCTCAAGCCGGCGCCGCGGCTCACTAGGCTAATCCTCCGCCTTGCAGTGCCGGCACACTGGGTTCTAGTCCCGGTCGGGGCGCCGGATTCTGTCCCGGTTGCCCTTCTTCCAGGCCAGCTCTCTGCTGTGGCCAAGGAGTGCAGTGGAGGATGGCCCAAGTGCTTGGGCCCTGCACCCCATGGGAGACCAGGAGAAGTACCTGGCTCCTGCCATCGGACCAGCGCGGTGCGCTGGCAGTGGCGGCCATTGGAGGGTGAACCAACAGCAAAAGGAAGACCTTTCTCTCTCTCTCACTGTCCACTCTGCCTGTCCAAAAAAAAAAAAAAAAAAAAAGCCCTGCTCAGCCTGAGCGGCTCCTTGTAATTAGACGATGGTCTGTCATGTGTTGAACCTGTGGGGGAATGGCTACCAGTGAAAGTCTGTTCCAGGAGAGAAATGTTAGGGAATTTCACGGTGTCTCCCAGGCCTTCACTAGTGGTCTCCAGTCTGCCCCATGCAGATAGTTAAGAGGTTTCCTTGATGTGCTGTATCATTTCCTGGGCTGGTGTTTTCATGTGGTCCCTTGGGCTCTGAGAATGGCAACCCCAGATTCCCTTCGGGTCTTGGTGGGAATTTCTCACTTTGTCTCACATACCTCTGACATTCTGAGACTACCAGACCCCTTGCAAAGCATTTTTAAGTGCATAAAATAAAGTACACAGTGGTAAGTTCACCAGTTCCCCCAAATTTGAAGGGATCTGTCAGTCCTCCCTGGTTAAGAAGTTTGATTTACGGCAGTATTTCTCAGTCTGCATGTGGAAGAGTCTGACAGTTTCTGATTGTTGACAATTTTATTAGAGGAAGGGCCAGTGGAAGCGTATTGTGGATCACTGGAAAGCTTATCAGGTCTCTTAGTTTTTCATTTACAATCTGAGTGTGCCAACACTGTTAGAACTACTGATTTTATTATTAGTCTAATAAGAAAAGATCAGAGCCTGCGTAATACATTAGGGCCAGATACGTCTTCAAATCGCTCTAGAAAAGAACATTTCATGGTGGAGTAATAACACTTCCAAGAGAAAATAAAGAAAATTGAATCCTCAGAATTGAAAAGAACTGAATCCACAGGGCACAAGGTAGTACCGAGTTGAAAAGAACCCATGCCATTGCCAGAGGGGACAGTACTACCTCTGTGTAGCCAGCAGTGGTTTGATTTTGGGCAAAGCACTACAGAACTTTGAATTTGAGTTTTGTTGGTGTTCATTTTTAAGTTGAATAGCTAATTCTGTTTTCAGAGTCGGGAGCCACTCTATCTCAGTGCCTCAGCTTCTCCACCCATGAAGTGGGAATAATCTTTAGCTGGGAGGATTAAAAGCTTAATGTAAATAAACTAAGGTAGCTAAGCCATATAGTAAACTTCATGTAAATATTTATAATTACTGCCTAACACAACAGATAATGTCTTGCGTATATTGTTTCATTTCAGACTGTCTTAAACATTTCCATTTTTAAAATTAGAAAACTAGCAGATCACATAGACAACCCAAAATCATCTGGCAAATAAACTCTGGTATTGGCATATAAATCTAGGCCTGGCTACATGTAAAAGTCATGCGAATGCTAAATTGTTTGAATAATTACTGTCTTGTACTTTGGACAGAAGGTGGATTGTGTGGCACATATTGGGTGTTATAGTTACCCAGCTTACAGCATAAGCTACATTTTAATTAAAATAAGTGTTTTGGCAAGTAGTGATCCAAATCTGTCAAGAATTTTGCTGTACCCAATGTGACTTAAGTGACTACAGGATACAGGATTAGTGAGAATGGCGAGGCTGAGGTAAACACAAGAGTAAGGTTAGAATTCGGTTAGCAGAAATGAGTGCCAGGTTTTTGGTTGGAAGTAGTGGTTTGGGTGTGAGGTTTGTAGACAGAGGGAACTTACTGCCAGCAGGGTAGGTGCAGCTGGGTGGAGAGGAAGGCACTCCTGTGCTTGTGAGTTGGTCACTCGAGTTGGTCATTCTCAGTGACTTGAATGGCTTTATCCCTTAGTGTTCCTTACAGAGGGTTTGTGAGTGTGGCTCTGGTCGGTGACCTCAGTGACTAGCCTAATGCCTGAGCTGGGTGGCCGGGTTCAGTTCCAGCAATGTTGCTAAAGGAAAAGGAAGTCAAAATGTGTGGTCTTGGCATTTTTCCAGGTACTTTACAACTATTGTCATTAAATCCTTACAGTCACCTGTGAGCTCTCCATTTCCATGTTCTAACAGGAAGAAACTGATGCTCAGGAGTTAAGGAAGTTGGCTGAGTTCACGGAGCTGATAACTGGATGTCAGACTTCGGTCTGTGTGATTCTAATCTCCACGCTGTTTTCTTCATGATCTTTTACACCAGGGAAGCCCTAAGAGGTGGCATGTATGCCATTGTTTTGATGGCAAGTATTACTAATTACTTTGACTGCACTTGATAATCTTCAGTGTAAGTTCAGGAATGCACTATCATTGAGTTTGCAACAAGAAACCATTTTTCCATCTCTTAAAAAATAAACCACACAGACTTCCAAAAGCCCTTTCTACATGCCTCTCTATCCTTGGTTGTATTGTATTACATATATAATATGTATATTTTACCAAAGTAGAATTCCCTGAGAAACGGGCACCTTTGCTTATAACCGTTTTATTCTCAACTCCTAACCCAGCGTATAGTTTATAAAATGTTGGACGGCTTCGTAATCAGTAAAGCATTGCACAGTATTTTGCAAGCTGTCCCTATTCTAACCCAGTCACGTGAGACACAGTAATGAAGTCAGGATGTAGTTGGATGAAGGAGGAAGGTAAGTATTTGGCTTGAGAGAGAGAGGATAGGGGCATAATGAGAGGATGGATGTATGATGGGGAGGGAAAGATTAGTATGTGTACACACACACACTGATAGCAAAGGTTGAACAACGTAAAATATTGAAAACAAAGACTGTCATTTGTTGAGTGCC